GGTTTTTTTGGTTTGTAATTTTACTAGCCAGTTTTACATTCAGTAGCCATTCTAAATGGTCAGGATTAACTACCATGTCGAAATTAAGGAAAGGTGGTCTGCTGCCAAATTACCTGCAGCCAGAATCAAGCTAGGTACTCTGGAGTGTCTGTAATACTTAAACCACAGACAAATGTCTCTGAATGATTACTGATCAAATGACAGTATTACAGCAAAGAAAATAAGACCACTGGAAAGATAATTCAAAAAACACACAAACATTGCCTTTCCTCCTCAAGTGTTACAGTTGTCACATTAATTTTTCAAGTGTCTCAGAGATATTTACTCCTTCAGTCTCAGACAGTTTGCAAATTTGAACTTCAGCATTAGAAAGTTTGGTATTTTAACCCCTTCAGCATCAGAAATTTTGCTATTTAAAACCCCTCAGCATCAGAAAGTTTGCTATTTAAAACCCCTCAGCATCAGAAAGTTTGCTATTTAAAACCCCTCAGTATCAGAAATTTTGCTATTTAAAACCCCTCAGTATCAGAAAGTTTGCTATTTAAAACCCCTCAGTATCAGAAAGTTTGCTATTTCAGCTCCTTCAGCGTCAGAAAGTTTGCTATTTCAGCTCCTTCAGCGTCAGAAAGTTTGCTATTTCAGCTCCTTCAGCGTCAGAAAGTTTGCTATTTCAGCTCCTTCAGCGTCAGAAAGTTTGCTATTTCAGCTCCTTCAGTATCAGAAAGTTTGCTATTTAAAATCCCTCAGTATCAGAAAGTTTGCTTTTTAAAATCCCTCAGTATCAGAAAGTTTGCTACTTGAACTCTTTCAGTGTCAGAAAGTTTTCTATTGTAATTCCTTCAGTGTTCTGTTGTTTTGAATTCTTCAATCTCAGACAGTTGTTTTTTAAAACTCCTTCAATGTCAGACAGGTGTTACTTCAACTCTTCAATCTCAAACAATTGTTATTTAATTTTTTCAATGTCACAGTTATTTTAACTCTTCAATCTTAAACAACTGAAGAGTTAAAGATTGTTATTTAATTTTTTTTCAATGTCACAGTTATTTTAACTCTTCAATCTCAGAAAGTTGTTACTTTAACAACTCCTGACCCAAGGGGTTACAACTTTAAAATATCCACTGTCTGGAAGAGGCACGGTTAAAACAACACGCTAAGAACACATGCACACTGGAATGTGTAACTATATTTCTGAACACATGCACACTGGAATGTGTAGCCATATTTTTGACTCACCCTGTACTTTTGGCAAAACTAATTTTAGCAAAACTCAGTGAGCACAATATCAATGATTACTTTATTTAAAAAAAAAAAAAAACTCACAATAAAAACATTGGCTCTCCTTTCAACTACGGCCAGTAGACAATAGTAGACGGCCAGTTAGTCGGAGTTCTGTCCCCTGGCTGCAGTGCTATTACGGACTGGACAGGAGGAAACAAAACAAATGACATAATTACTGTGTGTTGGCGATAGACAGCGTGCACTGCCCTGCTATAATCATACGGTTAGGGTTTGGGTTAGGTTTAGGGTTAGGGTTACGGTTAGTGTCGACACATCTCGTCTTCACATGAACTCAAAGTAGCAACCCAAACCCACATCCTAAACCTAACCCAAACCCTACCCCTAACCCAAACCTTAACCGTATGATGACAGTAGGGCACTGCACTGTCTATCGCCAACACACAGTAATTATATCACTTGTTTCGTTCCCTCTAATCCACTCCGTAATGCGTCGCAAGAAGCGGTAATTGAACGCGGTCGCTAATTTGAGTCGCAGCGCGGGGTCGGCCAGGCATGTCGACCTCACTCTGTTTTCTGATTCTGCCTTCTTCAGTCCGTAATTGCACTGCAGCCAGGGGACAGAACTCAGACTAACCGGCCGTCTACTGTTGTCTACCGGCCGTAGTTGAAAGGAGAGCCAAAACATTTTAGCCTTTTAAAAAAAAATCTATAAAACCAAGAACATTCTTGCATGATCAAAAAGCTAGCTTATTTTAAGAAGGAAACCTTTGAAACACCTGGATATGAAAGAATTTGAGCTTTAAATATTTACAGTCATTCAGTTTCTTTGCACCCCTTAAGTGAAATAAAAAAAAAAAAAAACAAAAAAAAAACAATCGATGTGCCTCTCAACAACAAATTTTCTTTGTTTCCCATTTTTTAAAAAAAATGGTTTTACTTGTCATCTGTCTCAACGATCACCAGTCTCAGATTATGACTTTACTTCTGATCTCAATATACGACATGGCCACACAACACAGATTTGTATGGCTTTTATCTTTCCACGACTCTTTTCCTCATAAAGCTGGCTGTTTGTCAGTAAGTTTTTAAAAATTGTTTCTCTTTGTAACATCTCCGTCAAATCTTCACTTTTTCTTCTTCGGCACCCACCCTTAAAATGGTTATCATCACAGCACTCCAGGATATTCATAGGTGCTCGGATTTCCCCTTTAAACCTGTACATCAGTGTCCTGCGGTTAATAGTATCAGTTCTATACTGGTTAACAAGAATTCTTGTACATCTGGTGTGCCTCTCAAGGTTGGCTGCACCAATCTTTCCTCCAAATTCTTGTATTCTTAGTAGTGACATGCATGCACACGCAGCTCCCAAAATCCACGGATTGTCCTATCTCTCTAAGTGCATTAACAACTGCATGTTGGGTTTGCATGTAGCTAGGCTGTGACATCAGCACCCTTTTGCTTAACACATCCAATTTAAACAAACCATACTTGTTAAGAGATAGTGGGTCTATACCTTTTTTCTTTCCCCAAAATTGAGCCCTAGAACTGGCAAGGAAAAATACTGACCGTTTAAATTTAATTTTCGAATTAACTTCCATTTTCCTTCAACTCTTAAAGGACTGTTTCCTGTATGCACATTCTTCACATCTAAGTCAGAAAACGCATTTCTGCTGTCATTGAACTTTATGTACAGCATTTTAACAACACTTATCTTGTGTCTCATCTTGTTAAGGAAAACTTCTGTTTTACAGATTTTATTAGTAGTTCAAAATTCAAATGCTTCAAAATTAAAACTGCAAATGTCAACTGTTACTGCAGTAGGCACCTGATGAGACACTGAAAAATATATATGTACATATCATGTAGAAGGTCCTTTGCAGAACGCACTTTCATCATGGTCTGCCTGAAGGAAACTTGGTTATTCGCCAGTTCTCTATCTGGATATTTACTTCACAAATATGCAAACATGTGAGAACATTCACTTATGTTAAACATCACAAAACTGATTAAACAACTAGTTACCACAGGAATATCCATTACTGGTGCTTATCTCATGTTGTCAAGATGTATAAAAGCCACCCGAACTGTGTGAAACAACTTTAACTGAGTAGTTTAGCTGGCTATTTCTTAGCAGACAAATGATACACTTATTCAGTTTCCAGGAATTCAAATGTTTCCTCACAAGCAATTCTCACATTAACTTGTAATTTTAAGATCATCCTGTCTCAATTGCTTTAGTCATTTATTGCTTCTATTCACAAAGTTAATTACAGCCCAAATCATACCACTAAACAGCAGTAAATTAATATACAGAAACCCCCCCCCCCCCCCCCCCCCCAAAAAAAAAACTGCAGCATCAGCAGCAAAACACATAAATAAAAAAACAACAGCAGACTCAATAATACTTCATAAACAGCAGTAGTGAAACATAATTCTAGCATACAAACAAACAGCAATAACCCAACAGGTTCCTACCACAGAATTAAAAAAGAAAAAGTAAATAAACTCATTCCTAATGCATACACAGCAGTAATGAAGTGGGTTACTAAAACATACAGAGCAGTAATCAAATAGGTTCCTAAACAGATATGCAGCAGTAATCAAACAGGTTCCTAACACAATAACAGTAGTATCAAACAGGCTCCTAATTGAACTTGGGCCTGGAGGGGGTTAAAACAAAAACAGGCCGATCCAGGTACTTACAGCCTTTCGTTAGAAAAAAAAAAAAAAAATGCTTAAATGGAAGTATCACAGCCATTACATTATCTGTACACAGTAATAAACATGCATATCTATCTTTTCTCTCTATAGTATAATTTATTGGATTAAATTAGAAAAAAAAAATTTACAAAAGCAGGGAAAATGTTTTTTTTTTATACAGTGAGAAGAAAATGTCTTCTTCAGTCAATGACACTCTTAGATAAACTTTGTGTCAACAGAGGCCTCATTTTCATGTTAAATATTGCTTGAAAAATCTAACAAAAATTATACACAGTTTTTATGTTATTTATAAATTGCTAGGAAAAAAAAACTAGGAAAAATTGACCACATTTTCGTGTGACAAATTCCTTGAATGAACTATCAAAAAGAGGCCGCATTTTCATGTCACAAACTGCTTGAATAAACTAGCAAATAAGTGGCATTTTCTTGCCTTTAAAAAAAAAAAAATCAAAAAGTGGCCACATTTTTATGTTACAAACTGCTTGAATAAACTATTAAAAAGTTTATAATATAAACTGGCAAATAGTTTATATATTTTTTTTTAAAGTTTCACCTTACAATCTGGCTCTTTAAAAAAAAAAGTTTGTTGCTAGCACAATTTGCTTGCTTGTGTGAACGATTTGAAATGTTTTACTTAGGAAACTGGCAACATTTTAATCGCACACCAGTATAATTAAAAATAATAACAACTGTACAAAATGTACATCAAATGAGTTATCGGAGGCCTAGGATGGTGTGCAACAATAACAACAGAATCTCACATGCGAGCATGAGGGGTTAAAGTCAGCGACCAGTGCTCATTCTCTGTTTGCCATCTTGGCAGTCTTGTGTACACAATGCCGGATTCTGTTCCTGGCATAAAAAAAGATCTGCAAGACCATCATCTTTGGAACATTCATAGATCAGAATATCCTCTCTGGCAACCAGGGGCAACTGTTAGACTTTCCACTGAAAAATGACACGGAAACAGCCCGCCACAAAGTGTGACAATCTTTCATGTTGGAGTTCAAGAAAACCCAAAGGCTTGTTCTGTTTTAACATCAATGTCGCTTCATGTGGAGCGAAAGATGGTCTGACCTAGAGAAGGCTCGATCACACACTTGACATTTGAAAGGCTTGTCCCCCGTGTGTTTGCGGTAGTGGCGGGTTAGTTCGTCAGAGCGAGCAAACCTCCAAGTGCATCCTTCCCATGTACATATATAAGGCTTTTCTCCTGTGAAAGACAACAAAAAAAAAAAGAAATATTTACAAAGACAATAAACAGGGCACACAGTAAAGTAAAGGACCCTTTTCCATGCCTTTCAGGCATATTGGGTATATAGGGTTGGACCTTTATTTTATAGACCAAACTGTACTTGGTGGGTGATGTGGTCAGCATCACACCAGCCGACCTTACTTCATAGTACCTGGTTCCCACTCAAGGTTGGGTCGACCTGAGAGCCAAGGTCATTTTTGAAGATATCCGGCCCTAATCAGGAACCGAACCCACGACCTTCCGATCTGCAGCCGAGTATTTAGCCGCTAGATCACGGCGGCTAAACAGGACAAATGATGTTATTAATTTAATTTTCTTCTTCAGCGATCAGTGTTTGCTATGTGTCCATTCCTATACAGGTCACAACATGACGATGGTAACATATAGTTTATTTTGCAGGGTTGCTCATATGGGCCACATTTCTTCAGGGCATTTTTGAAGACATGCTCTAGAGTTTGCTTTGGTGCACTAAAACTCCACACGGTAGACAGAACCAACAACACCCATTCGATGCTCCGTTCCTAGTACAAAAATTCTACTTGGCCCATTAATGCCAAGTCTGTTTATTCTATCATGCTCTGAATATTTACAAATATGCAGCAAAGCAGATTTTGATAATAGGTTTAGGCTAACAGGTCAACCATTTAGCCACAAAAGTGGCGCAAATAAACAAGACCACAAATATAACCAGAGATTGTTGGCAGCTTCGGCTAGCTAGCAGCAGGTTGAATGTGGTGGTGTTTTTGATTTTTTTCTTAAAAGGAATTGAACTGAAGGAAGGTCAACCTGTTATTTTCACAGTGAAAGACCGCAGTGGATAACCAGCAAATCTGTTTGTCCTGAGATTTTTATACTCTCTGAAACGGCTGCTGATCCACCTTCCCACTTAAAATAGTTATCCAATGATGGAAGCACCATGAACGGATAATAAGCGTAGTGAAGATATCTGGAAAGTAATGAACTCATAGAAAGAACTAACTTCTTGCATCAGAAGAAACAAATCCCCATTCTTTGTGTATGGGGGGGGCAGGGAGAGGGAACTGTAATACATGGTGACAATGGTACAGCTGTAAGAAATGACAGGCAGATGGAGACAAACAGGGAAGAATTGATACAGTTTAGTACAGCTTGGAGGAGCATCAGTACACAAGATGGAAGGATGTAAACAGACATTCCTCTGCAAGTTCTGGGGCTCCATTTTGGGAAAGGAGGTGGGTAAGAACGGATCCACTGCACCTTAACAAGCATGTAACAAAGTCAACTTAGTAAGGGTTTGCTGAAGTAGAATGTTTTTCAGCAGAAAGGTGCAGTTTAGAGTAAATGACAACCTAATGTGCCAAATACCCATTCTTCTTCTCCAGTCCTGTTCTGCCTTTCAGCTTCAGGTTTTGAAAAGGCCTGGGGAGCAAGCCTTTGGTATGTGCTATGTACACATTGGTATTCAGTCTTGCAGTAGGTAAAGTAAAGATCCCTTTTTACGCCTTAAGCGCATCGGGCATATGGGAAGAGCACCCATATTTTTACAGACTAATCCATATGGGAAGAGCATCCATATGGGAAGAGCACCCATATTTTTACAGACTAATCGACACTACGTGGGTAATATGGTCAGCATTACGCTGGCCGTCTTTACTTTCCCAGGACAGCCTTCCTGGTACCCATTTTAAGCTGGGTTGACCTGCAAGGCCCCATACCATGATACAAAATTCATGCAGCCAGCAGTGGGTTTCGATCGCGGTACGCTGGAATTATGAGTCAGACAAGCAACGCCTAAGCCACAGATGCCGCCACACAGTACAAACTGTAAAAAAAAGAGATTTAAACCCTGGTTCTGTGACCACCCAACATGCCAAGCCATCTACCTATCTACCTGTGTGAGTTCTCCTGTGTGCTTTGAGGTGTGAGCTTTTCGTATACACCTTGTTGCAGCCTTCAAAATCACAGCTGTGCACCCGGCGAGCCTTCTGATTGTCTACATCATCATACATGTCCTCCACTTTTTGGTGCACTCTGGACACTGGGTATCTCATCAGCTTGGAGGTGGGGTCCACTGCCCCAGCATTGGTGTTACTGTTCAGGCACTTGAACTGCCTGCAGAAATATTAAGACAAATCTCAAGAAAAATCATCAACATTGGTGTTACTGTTCAGGCACTTGAACTGCCTGCAGAAATATTAAGACAAATCTCAAGAAAAATCATCAACATTGGTGTTACTGTTCAGGCACTTGAACTGCCTGCAGAAATATTAAGACAAATCTCAAGAAAAATCATCAACATTGGTGTTACTGTTCAGGCACTTGAACTGCCTGCAGAAATATTAGACAAATCTCAAGAAAAATCATCAACATTGGAGTCGGGTTGGTTACCTCATCTAGTAAAACACAGCTGCCACAAAAAGCCATCAAACTTCTTCTTTCTCACATTCCGTCAAAACTGTCATTATTGCCTGTATTAACAAATTTTGAGGTGTAGGCTGGGTCCGAGCATGGCTAACGCTGTCACCACCGACTGCGCAGGTTAGGATTTTATTTTTTGTTCCCAACAGAAACAAATCCTCAACCTTATTGAAGATTCGAACCTTGATCTGCCACATGACAGCCTTGCGTTTTTAACCATTCGGCCACTCGATTCTCACTGCATTCACAAGATTCACATTGCAAACTCTGGTGAAGAGTGTTAGCTGTTCATCTACCTTTGAACTTTGGTCTTATTTTGGAACTTAAGCCTTGCAAGCACATATATTTTTTTTAAAGATCTGACTTATTTGTGTGCAGACTGCTGGTTCCTTGTCTTTCAGGCAGATGCACTCCAGTTTTGAAGGAAATGTTCCTAGCCAAGTTGACCAGTGTGAACCCTGGCCCTGAAGCACCACTATACGCGGTTCAGCACCTAGGTGTTCCAAAAAGCTATTGAACTATGAACATATATGAAAAACAAACACACAAGAAATCTCATGCATATTTCGTAACGTCTGTTGTCCGGTATCCACCTACGTGATAATCCACCTGTGTATCTACTTGCAAGAACAATGTCTTCCCTAACTTGTCTTTCTAGACTATCATGGCATTTAACAAGGCCAAAGTAATTTAGGGAGATGAATGGTCCTAGACCATGAGGGAGACCAAGAAGACGATGGAGAGATAATATCCTGACAGACCTGCAGTTACTTGGTGTTACCAACTGAAAAGAGAAGGCTAACCAGAGAGATGAATGGAGGCGGGTGATAATTGCAGCAATGAACCTCAAGGGCTCGGAATGCTGAAGAAGTAGTAGTTCAATTCCCAAGACGTAAAGCTGTTTAGGAAAAAATTTTCTGCTATGTCCAGATCATTTAGAATGTCAGTATAATTCTTCTCCTTCACTTGCTATTTTGAGAATTTTCTTTAGGCAGATGCACTCAGACTTTGAAGGAAGTGTACCCTTTCCAAAAAAATATTCTTTTGGAGATCTCTTGCTTTGTGAGACGCCCTTGTCAGGCAGCTAGCCACTCTGTGCAGAGGGAGTGAGCCAGCTGGGGTGAGCCTGACGCAAAGTAGTCAATTCTCTCACATCAAATCCAATTATTAATTGCCTGTACGATTCCTAGAAAAAGGCCAGGCAATAATGATTACCTGTATTTGTCGCTGTATAGGACACAAACTTTTTTGTCCCTAAAATGGCATCAAAATTGGACTGTCTTATAAAACGAAGGTGCCCACATTATTGGGAAAAAAAAAGATAGTACACAGCAGGCATTCCTACAATGCGAGTTTTAAAACCCATGTGATAAAATATGCTGAAGAACATGTCAACAGGCCAGCAGAATGTCATTTCAGACCTCCATCAAGGAGAAAAACCATAAAACTGGTGGTCGCAGCAAGATGTTTTGTGCAAACAAATGAAAGCATGCACAACATGGAAAAGTGCAAAACTGAAGGAATTAGCGACATGTATTGAAATGGGTGCCAAATAGATCTGGCCATAAACAAGTTATTTATTGAAAAAAGTCCCATCCTTGGACGCAATTTTTCATCATTATAAGGCCCGATCCTAGCTGTCGTCGGGGACCCTAAAATAACCTAACGGTTGAACACGGTTTCTGGGACTTGTGGCGGGTGATCCTCATGCAAATGGTGGTACTTTGTGTCAATGGGTGTTGGTCGCTCGATGTAGTCCTGGTGGGTTAAATCACACACTCATAAACAATTTAGAGAATTTACATATCTAGGAAGTGTAATCACAGAAGATGGCAGAATCAAAAGAGAAATAGAAAACAGATGTCAAAAAGCAAGTGCACTTGCATACCAATCATCACCATTATTAAGTAAATATAACCATAATATGAGGGCAAAGAAACAGTTTATAAACAGCAAATTCATTCCAACACTGAGCTACCAGTGCCAAAAATGGACATTATCTAAAGCCCATGTATGCAAAATCAACACATGCGAGATTAAATGCCTGAGAAAAGTCGCCAACCTCACCGTCAGAGATCGAGTGAAAAATGACACTATCAGACAAATTGTGTGAAAGACACCTTGTACTAGATTACATCAAGAATCAGCAGATCAAGTAGTTAGGCCATCTCGTTAGAATGCAGCAACATTAAATACTGTCACAAGCTCTACATCTCAGGAGATCAGCAACAAGATCAAGAGGGCGACAATGAAAAAGATGGATCGACAACATTAAAGACACTTTACACCAACTAGTGTGCACTGGATGGCAGATTATTTCTCCCCCCCTTAATGGCAGAAAGGGTTTATGACGGCAATGATGATGATGACTAAAAGGGTTTATGATGGCGATGATGCAGCATCTTATTCAAGGCAGCATCTTATACAAGGCAGCATCTTATCAGCAATGGGTGCAAGGCAGCAATTAAATTTTAAATTTCTTTCAGCATTTTGTCTTTACAAGGCAGGTACAAGGCATCTTATACAAGGCAGCATCTTATACATCAAATATGGTAAGTTTGTTCATAAGAAAAAGCTGCCATAAGTTATACATACTCGGAAGCTTCCTTGATCCGACGCAAAGACAGGAGGGCCGCCGAGCCAATCTTATTCACAGATTCTGTAGTTCCTGCCGGATGCTCTTCAGGTTCTGCAGCCAAGCAAATCAGAATTTAAGCATGCAAGAAAAGCAACAAAAGCTCTAATTATACAGAAAGCAAAGAAAACTAAGTCTGAGAATTCTGTCCATCACAGCCATTCAAAATTTTTAATATGGTTAAGATCTGAGTGATTCTTCATAATATTTTAAAATTCAAATAGAATTATCATAAAGTGTGGCAAACATGTCAAGTTTCCAAGCCTGAAAAAATCGTTCCAAAACCAGAAGCTGACATGTATGGCAGGTAAACGGTGCAAACTTGTATCAAGTAAACAGGTGGGACAGCACTTCTGACAGTCACCGTACATCACTGACTGTACCTCGACCAGGCAACCAGAAATATATAAAGTTGTAGTGTTAAAATAAATTACTGCTACTATTTTATATCAATGTTTGTGTTAATATTATATAACTACATTGACTAAACACAAGTTGGACATATTTGTGGCTCCACTGGACAAAGGTTGTGCATTACAAAGACGACTTCTTAATCAGAATGTTATAATTTTTGTACACACATGTAGCTGACACCTACACACAAATCTTCTTCTTCTTCTTCATAGCATTTACCAGATGTAAACTCTGGCAGAAAGTTGTGGTTGTTTGTCCACTTCTGGACTGCAGTCCTGTTCCAGAGCCTGAGTTTTGTGTGCGCATCCATTTGACAGATCTGACTAATTTGTAAGCAGACTGCTGGTTCCTTGTCTCTCAGGCAGATGCCCTTTAACTTCAAAGGAAGCTCCCAATTAGTCAATTCTTACGACAAGCTTGCTTGGGGAGGCAGTGGATCTATTCTTGTTTTCCATATAATAGGGCCCCAGAACCCACGTGGGGAACTTCACACACAAATGTTATGGAACAAGATAACCAAAGAAAATCAGAGTTGAACACAGTGAAAACAGTCTAGTTAAAATTGCAGGCATATTACACTGTACCCATTCTAGGCTAGAGCAACCTGGCAGCATAGGTCAATGTTGGGGGAGGGGGGGGGGGGGGGGGGGAATCTGTCTTAATGCGGCTTCAAACTCAAGACCCTCTAGTCGGCAGGTGAGAATTAAGCCAGCCAGCATTACTAACTCAAAAATGGTTAAACAAGAAACAACAACCAAGAAAATGAAATCACAAAATTGATATGCACAAATCAGTGACATCTACACAAGCCCGCTAAGATTACGTAGGACTAGATGAAACTCAAAGATCTATCTACATTTCACAAACTGTTGAAAACACTGAAACTGCCAGAACATTTTGGGTTAACATTCAGGTAGAGACAGATTTTTGGAAAAAATGACTGCGGCTGCCGAGGCGATGAAGCCTAAAATAAGCACCAGGAAATATCCTGGGGAGTAAAGGAGACTGTCATGATTTTGACCACATTACCCATCAAGTGACTAGTGGTCTATGAGTGATTGAATGAATCATCTCTGCACTCTGGACATTCCCATACATGCTCTGTCTCCTTCCTCAGGAGCCGACAAAGTAGCTGTTGCAACCTGATTAAAAGTCCGCCTGTTTTCATTTCAGTGCTGAATATCTTCGAAGACCTCTGCCCTCAGATGGTCTCTTCTGTTGCACTTTCCACTTGATCCCAGAGAGCCTTTCTCACTTCCACTTAATCGTAATATCCACCCAGAGGAGCAGCAGCAGCCAATCTATCAGCCCCCTCATTACCCAGTACTCCCAAAATGTCCTGGACAAAAAATCCATGATATGCTCTTGATCAGTTTTTTTTCAAGGTAGGCAAGCCACTCTATGCTTAATGGTCTATTTAAACAAAAGTCTAGCACTAAATGCCTGATGTACCAATGGCATGGAAAATATCATTTCTACTTCTATCCCCCCCTCCCCCTCCCAGTGGAGCATAGGCCCTCACCCACCACTCGCCAAGTCGTTCTATCCTTCTCTATTAGCATGCAGCTCTCCTCATGTCCTTCCTATCTTTTTAACCTCACTCTCTAGCTACCTTCATGTGTTTTTGGTCTCCTTTTATTTCTATGCCCCTGTGCAAAGATATTCTAGTTATACTGTTCTGAGGTTATCTTAAGGTTCTTAAGTCTCTTGAGAATCACTTTATTTATATTCTGGGGACTTTAACACCATCTGGACTGAATTGCCAACACAGTTTCATTTAAACTCCCAGGGTATTAAACTGCCCTCACAGTTTTATCTCTAACCCCCCCCCCCCCCCCCACGTTATGTCCCCTGGTACTTCCCCAGGGGGTATTTATTCCCCAAGCCGACACGTGTAGTCATTCTGATGAGAAACAACCGACCCAGCTGCTTCGAGATACCAGCTAAGTGATTTTGTGTATCTGTGTAGTATTGTTTGATTTGTGTGTGCTGATGAAGGTTCCTTCACGTTTTGTTTGTATTTGTTATATTGTCAAGCTTGCTAATATACTTTTCATTCATTTTATATCTTTTCTTAAGGTTCTTAAGGTGTGCCCTACCCAATGCCAATGTCTTTTTCTTCACCTCTTGGTCCACTGGAACTTATTTAGTTCTTTCTCAAAGCTGAACATTAGGTGATTCTATCATACCATTTAATTCCCTCTTTTCTGCGCAGGCACCAGTTAATGAATGTTCACAGTTTATTAGTAACTGCCTTAGCTGTTCTTCATGTTCCGCTCCAAACAACAATCAACAATTTTAAGTTTTATATTAGTTTCGATTGCATGGAAAAGGTCCTCTACTTTTATTAAAATGTATCTGGGCTCCATTTTCTCTAGGGGACTTGACATCCAACACAGTTTTATGTACTATTTTTGAGTTATGCCCCTTCTTGTTGGTGGTCAAATATGTATCAGATATTCAAATGTCCAGACAGATATGTGATTTCTCTCAGAGATACTTTAGTTAAGTGATTGTGCTTTCTTGTTCGTATTTGTAGTACTGTATATCTATGTAATGTGCTGACAAGGTTCTCTAACTACAGCGTTCACTTCTTGGTTGTGTTTGTAACAATGTGAAGCAAACTAGTCCTACTTCTCACCTGGTTTGGTATTATTTCACAAAACTGAGGCATGAACTAGATTAATATCTGAACTCACCACGCTTTGTTATCCTCAAGTCTAGTCCATGATGGGTATCTGCTCGAGTCTCTCGTCTGTCAGCTCGCTTGACCAACGACAAATCAACGGGTTCACACTGATCCTGAAAAGACAACAAAAAAACAGCATTTGTAACAATATCAGAGATAACCAGGAAAACCTCCAGATGTGATACAGTAACAATTGCATATCTGTATTATATTTTTTATTCTGGAAAAAACAGGGAGCCAGGGATTTGGGCAAACAAAAAAGTAGTATAAATTTAAAAAAAAATAGTAGTATAATAGGGGCAGTAAAAGACACGTTTATGTGCACATATTTAACTTTTCTGATACCAAGTAACTCATCATGCATGTGCTGTTTTTGCATATATTATACTCATTTCTTAACTCTTTGTGTCTCATCTAGAAGTTACACTAAACTACATTCTTCCTCAATTGTTATTACAACATGTTTTGCCTCACAGTATCATTGTTTTTGGACTCAAAACTTTATCAGTTGTAGTAATGACTTCCTAGGACAGTGCCCTATTCACTGTTAATAATGCGGTCTTCTCTTTGTGAGATGCAATTTTTCATTCTTTAAAGCCCCACCCTGGTTCTTGCCAGGGGCCGCAATATAGCCAGACCATAAATATGGTCTAATGGCTGAACGCGGTTTCTGGGACCTCTCCGCGGTGATCCCCATCCACATGGTGGCACTTTGTGACATTGGGTGTTTATCGCTTGTGTGATGTCCTAGTGGGGTAAAAAATCTACTACTTCTACTATTCACTGTTAATGTCTGGCACTGAAAACATAAAGTAGAAAGAAAAAACATTAGGGAGAAAAACAACAAATACTTACTTTCTCATCTGAATGATGCGACAATGCCGGAGAGTAAGAAGGGGAGTCATATGCTGACTGATCACATTCCGTCTTCGTGATTACTTCTATTTTACGTGTGAATTCAGGGATTGTTAACCCGGTCCACATTACTCTCCCGCTCACACTGCTCGGAACATCCTGAGGCTCCAACTTTATACGCTTATGTCCGAAAATCAAGCCCTCAGCAGGTCTTGTATCTGAATTATCAACTGCTAAGTCTGAAATGATCTTCGGCTTTGTATCATAAGATGACGAAGACACTGGCGGTGATAAAGATGACGATGATAACGGTGAAGATAACAATGAAGAGTGGCAGTGGCTGAACCTGCCTGCTGACAGCTCGACAAACTGGCCGCTTGTGTCGACGACTGGCTTCTCACACCTGTCCATCTCATGACTGGATGTGGAAGGGCTGCAGCTGTTGCTCTTGCTGCCAAAGCTTTCGATGTTGTAAGCGCAGCTGTGGTTGTGAGTGTCTCCCGCACAGAAACATTTACTGTGGACGTTAAAGGTATCAGGCGTGAGGGATTTCAGGTTAAGTCCTTCTCGGTTGAGCTTACCGTTGCACTCCATTCTTTGGATTATTCTGTAGGCCTCCGGTCTGGATCCAGGCAAAACAGTGCCAGCCTGAACCAGGGTATAAAGGTCATGCGGCACATCTGAGAAACCTGACCTGCTGTGCTCATTCGACAGTGTGATGAACTGTCCCCCAACAACCGCAATAGGTCTGGTCGATGAGCTAAAAATGCCGCTGTGTTCGTCTACTTCCTTTCCTGGCCTCTCATAACCCCTATTGCTGTCTTCATTGTCAGTGCAATTGGTGATGCTTCCACGCCGCTTATATCCCTTCTTCAATAAACTGTGACTTGATGATGACGACGACAAAAATGATAAAGCTAATGACAGCGGTGGGGACACTCCTTCGGGAGATGGGCTTGGAGTTACAAATGCAGACGAAGAGTCCTGTGTCATTCTTTCTTCCAGCTGCTGTGAACAAAACAATAATCAAGCAATTATCTTCAAGTAATTTTCAGAAGCTTCAACTATTAAACAGTTACAACAGACTGTAAAGGACAAACTCACAGAAGATACCATAGCACAGTGATAAATAAACTGCTGGACATTTTGTAATGGCTAACTAGTCTGCAGTTGCCAGTTTGTGGGCCAAAGATACGTGGGTTTTTGCTTGTCATGCTAGAGTGTAGGAAAACAGTGAAAGCCACATTAGTTTCCTTGTGCTCGAGTGTAGGAACACAGTGAAAGCCACATTAGTTTCCTTGTGCTCGAGTGTAGGAACACAGTGAAAGCCACATTAGTTTCCTTGTGCTCGAATGTAGGGGAATTGAGAAAGCCTCAACAGTTTGCTTGTAATGTTGAAGAGTGGGGAATTATGAAAACCACAATATTTTGCTTATATTGTTGAAGTGTAAGGAATTATGAAAGCCCCAATAGTTTGCTTGTTCTAAAGTTTTTGGAATTACCTCAACAGTTTGCATGTATGCTGGAGTGTAGTGAAACTATGAAAGCCACAAAAGTGTGCATGTTTGCTGGAGTGTAGGGAAACTATGAAAGCCACAATAGTTTGGGTGTAGGCCGGAGTGTAGTGAAACTATCAAAGCCACAAAAGTCCACCTCTGATACTGGGGTATAATGACACCATGAAAGCCACAAAAGTTTGTGTGTTTGCTGGAGTGTAGGGAAACTATGAAAGCCACAATAGTTTGCATGTATGCTGGAGTGTAGGGAAACTATGAAAGCCACAATAGTTTGCATGTATGCTGGAGTGTAGGGAAACTATGAAAGCCACAATAGTTTGCATGTATGCTGAAGTGTAGGGAAACTATGAAAGCCACAATAGTTTGCGTATATGTTGGAATATAGGGAAACTATTAAAGCCACAAAAGTTTGCGTGTATGCTGGAGTGTAGGGAAACTATTAAAGCCACAATAGTTTGCGTGTATGCTGGAGTGTAGGGAAACCATCGAAGCTACAAAAGTCCACTTCTGATACTGGGGTATAATGACACCATGAAAGCCACATTCTTTTACAGTGAAAGACAGAAAGAAATCCCAACTGTAATTCTTTTCATAAATTCATCAACTCGTGGTTGCCTATGGCATCTTCCACCCTGGGATGCAAATATACTTTCAGTCTGTGTTATCTGCCTCTCTATTAGTTAGTACTCTTTTCGATTTGGCAACAAAATACTGTCCGCATATCTGAGACATCAACAGCGGAAAATAATCCCAAAACATATATTCCAACTCACGGCAAGATATGAGAATTACATTGATCAAATGATTGTGGCCCAGAATTTGCCTAAAATAAGGAAAGCCCCCACAGATGTCTTCTTTCGTTAATCTGATACAGCCAGGCTTTCTGAGGGATAACTCTTGTATGTAGCTTAACTAATCATGTGATAGCACGCCCGACTCCTGCTGTGGATATCGCGGGTTCGAATCCTGATGCTGATACTGCTATACCGTGTATACCTGGTTTCCTTCATACCAACAACCGGCTAAAAATATTCACTTTAAAAAGCCGTGTGAAGTTCTGACGACAAATCGTCGGCACTAACGATTCAGCGCCAGAAATATTACCCAGAATCGCACTGGCATCTAGTGCCTTTAACATGTCAAACATCTGGAAGTCAAAGTCATTGAGCCAACACACAAAAGTCCAGATCTCCAACTCTTTATGTGATTCCAGTGCTAACTTATCATCTGGACACCGGAAGGGAAGGGAGGAAAAAAACGGGAAAGACCAAGAGAGACCCTGGGTAGAACCGCCATCATCAGGGAAGGCTCAACCATGGGCCTGATGAACATCCAAGACCTAAAACATGTGGCAACGATCCGCTAGAGATGGCAGGCTGCGACCTAGGCTCAAGAGGACAAAAACTAACTAACTCTGCTAAAGTCACCCACGTTCACGCCAAATGAAGGCATAGACTGACTGACTTTCTACCCCACCAGGACATCACACAAGCGATAAACACCCGATGATACAATGTGCCACCATGTGGGTGAGGATCACCGTGGAGAGGTCCCAGAAACCGCGTTCAGCCTTTATGCCACATTGCGGCCCCTGGCAATAACGAATAGGGCTTCATATAAAGGCATAGAAGTCAGGCATGTCAAAGTGGGGGGGCCAAATGGGTAACATTCTGTCGCCATAAGGGCCACACACGACAACTAAGTGAAGTCATTAAATAAAAATTACTTCATATTTCCAGTTGTGCTTGCAAGGGGTCGCATGCGCTCCACGGGTAGCCAGTTTGACATGCCCGACCTAAGTAATAAATCACTGTTTCGAGAAAATCGCGTGTGAACATTGAGAGATTTGAAATCCTTTATATGTTGTCTTGACATCGACCTGGCTGCCACGAGATACGAAGATAAGTGATATTGTGTTTTTGTATAGTATTGTCTATTCTATGTATGTGCTGAAGAAGGCTCTATAGCCTCAACGTTTACGTTTTGTTTGTGTTTTATATCGTATCCTTTATAGGACGTTGCTGAACCAACCAAAGCATATTTTGGTTGTTGTGGTTTTTCCAGGCAAACTTTACGATTAGTAGTTTGCCAATGCTTACTACAAAGTCAGCTCTCGGTACCACTGATGAAACCAAAGCAAGACAAACCATCCGCTGCTAGGATCGAACCCGGCAACCACGGCATTACGAAGCGCGTTCGCAACGCCTAAACCACACCACAGGCGCTGACTGAAAAACTGTAGTTGCTTGAAAACCAGTACTTCATTTTGGTGTAGTAATTCACATGTGTATATTTTACATATTGCAAAGTTACAAAAAACAGCCCTGAAAATGCACCTAGGTTAAAATCGCCAAAAGTAAGCTCATGTGATAATAGTAAGAGACAAGAGAATCGACCTCCCACCGCACCGAATTTAATCCCATTTGGTTCGGTCATGACCTTCTTCAGATCTATAGTATAGTCTAAAAAGGGCTTTCTCCTAACGAAATCAGTCAGTGAGTCAACCAATAATGAGTTAATCTGCCTGCATTATACCTTATACCTACCTACCTACCTACCTACCTAAAGTCTGTCTGTCTGTCTGTCTGTCTGTCTGTCTGTCTGTCTGTCTGTCTGTCTGTCTACCTATCCATCTGCACAAATCATACATACCTACACACAAATACACTTACACTCTTCTAACGACTCATCCACCAATCCAGACTCACGAACTCAATGAGAAACAGGGATACATGGAGAGAAAAAAGAGACTGGGACATACATATCAATGTGCGGCCGTGTGCGTATTTGAGAGAAAATGAGAGACATAAGTGGGGGATTGGGGGGGGGGGGGGGGAGGAGAGAGAGAGAGAGAGAGAGAGAGAGAGAGAGAGAGAGAGAGAGAGAGAGAGAGAGAGAGAGAGAGAAACCCTTAGCACTTCACATGCTTTTAGACAACAACGTCTTCAGATTACTCTTATCGTGTTCCTTTGGTGGCCATCACCAGCTGCCCCGTGTCCCTCCGGTCATTGACAGATTGTAACCCCCCCCAACCACGCACTCCAGACTTCCCCCCAAGTGGTCTCGCTGATCGGCCAACAGCACTCGACCTTTGGAACATGCAGACAAGATACGACGTCATCGGCTCACGAGCTCATTAAGTATCCCCAGAATGACCTGTTAACCCCTGACCCCTGCTGACAGATGATTAACATCGTTCTGGGATAGAACAATGACTTTCCGTTGTGGCTATTTATGACAGTTTAACGGTCTGCTTCCTTTGTGCTGTGTGTCGTTTGTGTGTTTCTGGTAAAGAGAGAGAGAGAGAGAGAGAGAGAGAGAGAGAGAGAGAGAGAGAGAGAGAGAGAGAGAGAGAGAGAGAGGACTGGTGGACATGGTGAAGTGACTCCTTCTACTTCTTCGTTCACCTTTAAAGCTGTTAGCAAGTTAGTTGCGTATCCTTTACAGGACGTTGCAGAACCAACCCCAGCAGCCCCTGGCTGTTGTGTGGTTTCTCTAGGCAAATTTACGTCCATTAGTTTGCCATTGCTTTTTGGAGGGTCGGCTTCCACAGTCGAAACCAGCGCAAGGCGCATGGCCCGCAGCTGGGATCGAACCCGGCACCCCGGCATTACAAAGCGTTCGCATCGACTTAGCCACAGAGCCGACTTTAAAGCTGTATACAGATTAAAATGTTAGTCGCGTATCCTTTACAGGACGTTGCAGAACCAACCCCAGCATTTGTAGCTGTTGTGGTTTTTCGAGGGAAATTTACGTCCAGAAGTTTGCGTATACAGATAACCATATGTCTTCTTGGTCTGCCTCGTGGTCTACTCCCTTGTGTATATATAATTTTCACTTCTCTGTCATCTGGCATTCTCTTAATATGCCCCAACCATTTCAGTCCATTAGCTCTCATGATGCCAGTGATCAATGATGATTTAAACAGATTATGAATTTTGTTGATGGATCCAAAGATGCGTCGTAAGACTCTGTTTCCACACATAGGAAAATTAAACATATCACCGACGCCATTACAACTGTGTTTATAGATGTTCTGTAGCAACAGAGGACATACATCTAAAGGTGTTTTTAAAACACTGGTAGTCACGAAGAGCGTATTATATGAATACAAGTAATTCTCATTAAAAACTGCCTGGTTTTCCTATGTATGGACAGTTACGGAACACCCTGGTAGATAGAATAACGTCAGACAATATGTTACTTTCACGGCCTTCTCTATTTAGAGAAGGCGGTGGTTACTTTGTACCCTTCGGGTATCCCAATACATCTGTCACACGGTTGAACTGGGTGTCTGGGACTTACGCCTGCTGGATTCTCTATCTGAATAGTGTCTCTTTGGGCTAATATTTGTTTAATCTGTCAAGCGGACGGAAATCGTTTTGTGTTTTGTTTAGATAACAAAAAGTGTTCTAACAGAGAGCATGTGATACAAGACCGCATCTAAAACTTCCAACAGTTAGGGGGGGGGGGGGGCGGGGGGGGGGGGGT